TCGTAGATCTATGTTTTCAACAGCAGAAATGCATTTCTCATACTTGGTTATCAATCTTAACATTTTGTATTTCACCAGAAAAGAATCAAAATACTTTGAAAATCCGTTAATTTATTTGAAACAAAATCTGCCGTTATCTGATCCTCAAATCTCAGATTACTTTGTCTTTTATCATGAAAATGTTTACAGTCGGCTGTTTGGTGGGCTGAATACAACTGTGAAATTCAAACACCCAATCATGAATTAAACAGAACATTCAGTTAGTTCACGTATTTGACATTTTTAATTTATTTTTTCTTCAAGCCATTTTTTAGGAACGAGATGTTTGTGCTTTTGATTATAGGTTTAAGTATGTTTCAGTTTTATATATGCTGAATGTGAAATTTATTACACACTGGAGTGGAATTCAAACAATGAAGGTTCCTATTTCCTATGGAATCCCACAGTATTTAAATTATTTTTGCATTTTTTATGGATTTATTTAGGAAATGATATAAATGGTGATAAAATATCTGAATGAACTGCTTTTGATTTATTAAGACGGATCGAAAGTTAGTGAAGAACAGACTATTGGAATGACTACATCATTTTTGTAATGAGTATTTCTTTACTGATTTCTATGAAAAACTGTCATATATAATTTGACGGACTGATGTGCATAACCAACCATACGAATAATATGTTGCTTCAATGAGTCTATTTGATGCAATTACCAATTTCGTAGACAATTCCTAGCATTTAAAATGATGGTTGAAACCTACCTAGGGAGAAAGAACTTGTTAAGCATTTCCTATTTACCACGCAAATTAATTTACTGGATACGCAATATGGTCATGTATCGAAAGTCAAACAATACGCCTTTATTCTTCATAATGACTCAGAAGTATACATTTGCTGTAAAACATTGTCCATACAACCTTGATGAACACATTCACGCTCTTAGAATGCTTTATACCAGTGATATAAACGTAAACGTCACGAGGTACCTCATTTTCTGTTTGGTTTTCAATGGAAATGCCTTTTGTTCCCAGGTAACATAAGTAAGAAGGACAACAGAGAAAATCTGAGTAAAATCTACTTTCAAACAATTCGGAGAGTTGGAATTGCTAATAAATTGTTTGCAAAATGATTCATACACAACATGTTTTTGTTTACTGAATCACATCATTGTCTGAAGACCTAATCCCAAGTGGAAATATTCACTGAATCTTGAAAACCATTCAATAATTATTGTCGCTGGTAGTGAAACTGATCGATTCTTCAAATAATAGCACTAGAGAATATATTAACTTCAAGCAAACTCAATTTTAAAGCTTCTGAACTGTTCATGCCACATGACATTCCTATGAAATTTTCTAGAGGTTAAGATTTCGTCTACAGTGTTTGTTAATTTCCAACTAAATGGGAGACAAATTTATCTACAGTGGAATGTGTTGAAGGCCTTATTTTCTGGTAGTAGTTGAAGATTCTACCATTGTGATTAGAATAACGTTCAGAAATCTCGTTCACGTGCTTATTTGATCACTCTGGTCTTTACAGTGGAACACTCTGAGTCATATATTACTTCACTACATTGTTCTTATATCGGTCACCTTAAGACGCATTGAGACAAACTACCTTTTCCACCAAATATATTATTTTTTTATTACATTATCGTAAACGCTTTTGACACAGAGATCTCGTTCGGACAGCTTTAAAGTCACTCTTAACTCAATAAAACACAATTCGAATGATTACCGTGCATGTTATACATCTCTATGCCCTGACGGATATACGAAATATATCTTTCCACAGCTGCATTTCATTAATTTTTGACAAACAAATTACGTAATTTAGAAGGGGTTAGTCGGTTAGAAACTAAAAAAAAGTTACTAAAGCAGGTTGGGTGACGTAATCTAATTGATAGGGTTCAATGAAAAAATGAATGAGAGTTAAATTAATAAGCTGAGTAGAATTCACTTAAAAATAAACGAAAATCGAGTTAGCAGCAGTCGTCATGAGCGTAGAGATTTAATAGAGGGTGGAGGTAGAAAATAATGCAATTAAGAAATAGACAAACAAAGAAGAAAGAGGTAAGACAAAATTACGTATTTGGTGTTAAGGTAGATCAGGATCAAGTTTGTACAGTCACTAAATCTACAATGGTCCTGATCTATCTTAACACCAAATACGTAATTTTGTCTTACCTCTTTCTTCTTTGTTTGTCTATTTCTTAATTGCATTATTTTCTACCCCCACCCTCTATTAAATCTCTACGCTCATGACGACTGCTGCTAACTCGATTTTCGTTTATTTTTAAGTGAATTCTACTCAGCTTATTAATTTAACTCTCATTCATTTTTTCATTGAACCCTATCAATTAGATTACGTCACCCAACCTGCTTTTGTAACTTTTTTTTAGTTTCTAACCGACTAACGCCTTCTAAATTACGTAATTTGTTTGTCAAAAATTAACACTTGCATTAACACATCTTTGGAAATATTCCTTTTGTTGCCAAGACAAATTACTATAAATTTGCATTTCATTAATGTCTGACATGAGTATTCACCATGTTTTGTCGACATGAATTTTTATAATTATTGCTTCATTACTACTTATCTCTCCATCTTATATGTGACTTTGAAGATTTCGAATATGGGGAGAGAATACATATTTTGCAATTCGCGTTCATGTGTTGCAGATACACATTGCAACTACTAGCCATATATATTGTCATCAGTGTGGTTAATAGCGTCAAATTCCAAAAAACAAATGAATCCATTCGTAAAAATCAGCGGTTATCATGACAGTAAATGTTGAAATCTTACCTTCATATGAGTGTTTATATAACACGGAGAGTCCGTCATTGTGAGTAGAATGTGGCAAATATGCAAATCTATGAAAGCGGAGGGGGATACCTACAATCTCATAGTGTCTCACAGCACATTCAGAAGCTTCGCTTGAAATGTGTAAGGTAGTATGATTGTAGTCATAATGATTAAGGTAACGGTACAAATAAAAATAATATTTACAGGTATCCAGTGTCACCTTGAAAGAAGGCTCCTCTGGGTTGGTTTTAGGAGTGAAGCTCAAAGGGTGACGTGACTGAAGAAACTTTCCTTAACGCAAAAATTAGGGTGACTAATCCTTATGACAACTGTTTCGGCTATCGGGTGTGTGCGAACCTAGAGAACTTAATTGATGTTTCATGAAGAGGGACAAAGGATGAATGTGCAGTTGAGGATAATGAAAACAGACAATACATTTATTCCCCACGAAAATTTAATGTGTTATGAGAAGTTTTGTGTACCATATCTTCTGTAAATATCCTTCTTTCTGTAGTTGCAGGTGAGCTGAAAGTTCCATGAAATCCTATTTTTCATTAAAACAGTCTATGACACTAACAAGATATCGATTCCAGTACTATTCTGAATAAGGCAAGTAGTTGACATTAATTTGAAATAATATAAACTTGGTCATGAGCAAAACCTGTCAGGTGAGTCCTAGAGTACTACTAGGTAGACTGGTTAACTCATCTGGTGATTACAATTCACCCTGAGCTGTTTGGGCAATGAGTGAACATTTCGAGTGTGACATCATGTTCATGGAACTAAACAAGAAATTTTTCCCATGAACAGTAAAGTTTTCACCGGAAAACAAATGTTTATTTTTGATTATAGATTGAAACCACACAGTAGTTTTGGTACAAGTATGGAATTTTAAGAATGTGAAATCGGCAGCCCAAAGTTTGTAGGCTGACCATAGATATCAGGTGTGCGTCGGCGAAGGATCGAACCCCGGACCATGAACATGGTCGACGAGAGTCCTAACTACTGTGCCACCCACGCCCAAAGTTTAATAATATATAAAGATATATACATAGGAATCAGAAACGTACAACTTCAGTTTTCGAATATATCTGTTTTTGATATTCTATCTTTTCTTGAACTGTATGATTCACTGAACTTGTGTCCTCAATTTTCGTAAAACAGTAGTTTTTAATTCAGGTGTTAGGAATAACATACATTACACATTTGTTCTGCCCTATGTATTTAAATTTCGGAACTAAATGTTATTTGCTGAAGGTGGAGAAGAATTCTGACAGTATTTTGTGGAATATAATCTCGGCAAGAAACTTCTTGTAACTTCATCGACTTATTAAAACTGTGTGCCGATAAGCCCATGTAATATGCAGTTAACCAAGTTTGAACGATTTTGATACTGCATATACTTCGGAAATTCCAGTCAGGTCATCTGCATATTTGACGAAGTTGATTTCGTGTGAAAGCGGTAAGTCATGCAAGAAGAAGGAAAAGAGAAATGAAGAGAGAACAACACCCTGAGGAACACCAGCTTCAGTAAGCAAAGGAGAGGAAGCTACACCATTTTGTACCGTGTACTGCATCCTATTGGAGAAGTAAGAGTGCAGCCAGTTGATAGCCCAGGACTCAGTTTGTGTAAGGCTTAACTTGTTTCACAAAAGGCCTCTAGGTACAGAGTCAAAAGCGGATGTGTAATCAAGGAAAGTACAACGGACATACTTGGCCCCTTTGTCTAAGGAGGATACAATGTTGTGATGAAACACAGCAGCAGCATCCAACGTACTTCTACCCTGTTTGTAAGCAAACTGCTTTGGATCATTTGAGAAGCTCAGGGAGGAACAATGAATGTCAGAATGGTCTTCAAAAGTTAATAGCACTGGGACGCAACTCGGAAACACTCAGGAAAACAGACGTTTAGTTAAATCCGAAAAATGTAACTTTTCTCATGGGTTAGGGTGAATTCGTCGATCAAACAATATATAATTTCGAGGATAAAATGAACCCCTTATCTCAGAAATATCAGAGATTGTTATCCATTTGTTATTAATTTTTTCTGCTTATCAGTGGTAGACATATTTGCATCAAAATAAAGTAAATCTGCACAATGACTTATTCCATTTGCTTAAGGTATTCATTTGTCTATTTTATAAAGTGATGACTTCACCCGTTCTAATAATTCGTATCACTTATCATTTCAGCGCAGTATTGTAAGTCATTTATGAACCTTTTTCCGTCTCTTCTGGCTTTATTCAAATGTGTTCAACTGGCATCAAGGATATGTTTGATAAATAATTATTCAGTGCATGTAACTAAGTAAATTTACTTCCCTTAATCAAATGCCTTAATCCAGGCAATTGGTTATAATGCGCGTGTAAATGATCGCAGTTGGTGCAGATAGCCTGTGTGGAAAACTTATTGTGTCTTTCACCAAAAAAATCAACTGTTATTTTGTATGCCCCGAACATGAGAAAATTCATGAAAAGTTATTAGCCTCCTTTAGAAATTGGTTCATACCATTAGGTTTAATTCCTTGTGTTTACTGGGCTGTACCTGTTACAGATTACTAACAAACCTTATCTTAAAAATACTCAGAAGATCAACTGTGAACTTTAGCAAGTAGATAATAACATGGAAGAACATGACACTGCCAAAAAAACACTACTCGGTTATTTTGTAATACGGTCATGAGAAAATTCTTTTAAGAATTAAACTGCTAATTCTTAGAAACCAAATCAGGGATTTTCTCCTAACTTGTAGAGAAATTTTTCGAATATACTTTGAAACCAAACAGGGATAGGAGACAGCAACAGTGACTCTTGTAACATTTGACGGTAGAGGACAGTCTTATTTTCAGAAGGTTAACCTATATGCGAAGAATATTCATTGTACCATATCTTCCCAGAATTGATTACGTTAAACACGAATGATAGAAAAAGTCTTACAAGGATTTCAATAACTATGATTACTTCAAGACACTTTATATTAGATTGACAGAAAGGGGTTTTATTCACTGACGCATAGACTTCAAATATCAAATAATCACTCAGATAAATAAAACGTGATTTATGCACTTTTAAATCCTACAAGAACAATTGAGTAAAACAAAAAGGTCACTCATCTTTCATAATAATTTGTTTACTGGAAATGTCATACAGTGATACACTAGTATTTACTGGACGACGATTTGAACACAATTCTTTGCTCATACTCATATCACTATAATTTGTCTCCTACCTAAATTTACAAACTGTGAATTCATCATATACTTTGAGTAGTCTGGTAACATACAACGGTGACATAATCAGTGATATGAAGAAAGAGAACCATGATTCACTAGATATCTTATTTATTGAATAAGGTAATGATATGTATCCACATATATATTTATGTGTGTGTGTGCATGTTGGTCTCTCTTTCTGTTTGCTCGGTTAGTCTGTGACCACTTCACTTGTATGAACTTGTCTCCTTTAATAATGTGTATTCCCCTTATATTATATTATATATAATATGAGTGTTTGTTGACAGTCCGTTGCTTGGTGACATATATCCATATATGTTTGTTGGCATGTCTGCTATATTCGCTATGTATAATTGGATCGACACTCGATTATAATTAGCCATTCATGTTAAGACTGTCTAATGATTTTCCCACGCTTGTCCGAATTACTTATATATATTCGCATTGACAATTTGTGTGAACTACTTTACAACTACTTGACTTGCTTACCACTTTGGTGTGAGACCATTTATTTTCGTCTCCTTGTGTTTGGACAATAGAAGTATCATCGCAAACCTAGTGGTCTTCTGATTTCCGCCTTCTATCGTCAGGACTATTAGTTTCTCGACCAGTCCATAGCAATAATTCAGCGACGAGTACATAACAATTTGGCGACGGGGAAAACTAGTAAATAACAGGTAAACACTATTGCCCGCCACTGTATCCTTTGCATTCAGTAAAATGACTTGCATCACTCATCGAAAAATGTTGAAAAATAAGTTGCAGCAAATAGCTGATTCAAGTTCCATTTATTATCCAAAGACAGAAATATGGCAACAGCACCAAAAGGTGAGTGGTAGTTAAAATTTATTTCTATAATACTGTTAGCCAATTAAAGAGCTGATTCTGTCTATTGATTATGAAATAAGTTTAGAAAAACTGCTGAAAAATTTAAATTTGTGTGACGTTCACAAGTAAGGATAATCGCATATTCTGAATATATTGGCTTTATATTCTGACTATTTCTATCCCTAAATATACAGTTAATAAACTGAGGTGATACAAGGATAAATGAAATTATGATGAGCAACTGTAGAGGAATTAGAGAAGCCCATGTATTAATGATAACTCTATCTGGATAGTCCACTTGTCATAGTTTCCCCTGCATTTAGGAGGGTTGCCTATGGGCTTCTCATATAATATGCATCAATTTTCAATTTTGTGTGTTCTTAAATGCCTCGAAGTCACTTTTTCAAGGTACATTCTCCAGACCTGTATTGAGAAAGAACAGATTATATTCCTTTCTCTGTCGATGCAGGCAAAACTATATAAATTTGTCAGCTGTCTCATCAGTGTCGACTTTTCCGTGAATGGATCTCTTCAAGGACCAGTCAGCCTTCTTTATGAGTAGCACATCAAGGAATGATATGGTTCTCTCAGTTTCATTTCCTCATATAGACCGGATAGCAGGATGACTGTCATTAAATACTTGCATGATGTCATCCAAATTATATTTATTCAACATTTCATCCACGTATCTTTTGTAGAAATTATGCCCTATAATAGCATATGTGAAAATACTGCTCTCCATACTGGCCAACAAGAAATCTGCTATCTAAGGATCAAATAGGATGTATAAAAATTCCATCTTGCTGTATGGTAATCTCACTTTTAAAGAAGGTGAACATATAATTTGTATCGATGTATGAGCGCCTTTAGGTATGATGTAGGCATCACTATTTTCACCTTCAAATTGCCAATGTAACTACAAATGAAGCATGCTATTTCATGTAATGGAACATTGAGAGATAGCTATCAAACATTATTTGATAACATGCTTTCCTCAGTAACACTAACGTCATTCAAGCAATTAATAAATTCTGAAGTATCATATGCTGAATAGCTTCAGACTTGCCTTCAAATGGTTTCAGGAGTTCTGCCATCCACTTTGTGACACATTGATATCGTGTGTAAAATGAGACAAAGTGACTTAGGTCTTGGCGAACTATTGTGCCTTTTTTTGTCTAGTTGATCAAACTTTCAGTATTTTCAGTCAACTGAACGATACAAAATGTTTAGCAATATGTGTAGTTACCCACAGCAATAAAAGAATCTGCAACCACACACACATTTGGCTTAATCAAACTAATTCTCATTATCTCTGCTGTATTTGATAGTCGTCCTAGTACAGCAATTTGAATGGTTGGGTTAAATACGATCAATGACTTACAAAGCTTCATTAAAGTCACCTTGATGTCTAGTAACCACGAAATGAGATAAAATTCAGCCACGTAAACATTTCTTCGAACCAAATCCTAGTCTTACGCTCAATATAACTGGCTCGTCACAAGTAGTCAAACTGGCCAACACATATAAAAGAAGCTAAACAGGGCAGTTTGTCCTTATTTCTTGAATTGAGTATCGGTTGTTTGGCTAGTAAATAAACAGTTTAGCTTTAGCAGGTCTTTCCAAGGACCTTTGCAGACAGTTTTGAAAATAAAATAACCAATTGATTACCATAATTTCATGCAAACAAACTATATATTGGCGTTCAGCAAGTGATGAGGAACCATTTGATAAGGAATATATTTCTTCACTGAATTTGTTTTTTTTTCCAGAAATAAACAGGTCTAACGGAATCGACCTAACATTAACTAAATCAAAGTCTAGCCCACTTGCATCAAGTTTCGTTATAACGAACACACAATCGTCTGAGATTGAACTCATTTCAGTCTACTCCTTCCTGCTAATAACAATCTTACTACCAGAATATGTAGTTCAGGTATATTCATCAAATAACGTCTAATAACTTTTACCTAAATAGATTTAACTTTTATTTCTGTTGAAATATGTAGCTCAGATTTCCAATTAACTGATATTTTTTGATTATCATTACTTAAAAGTCAGATATTACACTGTTTACGCTGCGAATTAGGCACACTACAATCTCGGTAAGGCTGACATATTGTAGCCTATCAATAGCCTAACCACTTTCTTACAAAATCTTCTAAACCGTTCCTTTACCTCTAACATTTTTTGAGTGGATAGTTCATGGGAGTTACCTGGTTAAACGAAATGAATGGAATGACATCACAGATATCTTCATACTTCTCTGTCACTGAGAAAAGCAAATAAAGTGGACCGTCCGAAATGAATTCAAATATAATAGCACAGTTATCATGATCATTTTGAAAACTGTAAACTGACAACACTTCTCAGTGGAGACCACTTAGTTTTCTGAACTTGATCTAAAAGAAGCAATGAAACCAGGAGATATAGCTACTCCTCCGCTACTGAAGTTTCCGGACAAATGAATAAACAAACCAATCGTTCAGTGAAAAGGTAGAAGACTTGAAAGTTTCAGGATGGATGAGAGTAGGATTTTGAAGATTTTGCGAATCCCGCGACTGATTAACATTCTCTCGATGCAAGCTAAAGTAATTATCGGAAAATAGAATGTAAGCTACATGTTTCCTGCTGGTTGAACCAGATGGATTGCAGAGACATATGAAGAGATAGAAATGTTAGGAATGTATATACAAAGGTTGAATGTGAGTGGATTATTCAGTTTCTTAACTGGAGACTTAGTAGTCTACTGAAATCAGTTAGACGTTAACCGCGACTAGTCTGAGGCTATTTTTTTATAACCTTCAGGTTTCCAGTGGAATATAGGGCTTCAACCTCGAGGCTTGAAGTTTCTGTAGCAGTGTTTATTTTTACAGGATGGGGTTGCTAGCCTCATGCCCAACCTTCCCTCTTTACCAGTCTTATTACTGGCTAAGTCAGTGAAAGGAGTGCGTCGGCCGGGATCGAACCCCCTAGCATGTGCAGGGTCGCGAGCACACTAACCTCTGTGCCACCTCCGCACCAAGTCTCAGGCTTTGACTATCATGATTTCAACAAGAGCGAATGCCGGCTTTAGTGCAACAGGAAAATGTCTTCTTTAGCACCATGACAGAAAAACTAACTGGAAAGGAAGGTTACACACACACTGCGGGAAACACACAAAACACAATCTCAGACAAGATAAAGAGACTGTGTAGACACCCGTACGAATTTCACTACAAAACATTCACAACTGAAAACAATGTTGAGTCATGTGAAGACTGTTTCATTTGAATTAGCTCGAACAAAAACCGAAATCTCTATTTGTATGCAGATTCAATACTGATAATTATTCAAATGTTGTTGGCAGCATATTTATAATAAACTTCCTTATGCTAACAGTTGATAAACACTCAAACCATGCAGTCTATGTGGACTAACTCATCGTTCATTTATACCTGGTATGAAACAGTCAGTAAACGCGAGAATTGCATTTGCAATTTCTTATTTCTTCTCTCATCTTAAGGCAAAAACTTATTTACACTATACTAGGTAGTAGGAAGGGTTTCACGATCTAACACATGAGAAAAAACCATTCACCTGTTATTAGTAAACACCGTGTACATTACAGCAAAATAAATTTTAAATAAAATTCATTGTTACTGCAGAACCAACAAAAAGAAAAACTGGTGAAACTTCTTCATGCATAAATGAACTTGATCTTTCAAAAGCGGTGGGCGTTATTCTTCAGTTTTCAACTTGTCATCGTTTTGCCTTCAATAAACATCACAGCTATGGATATAAATAAATAAACACACCCTGCCCAAGTAATCATAGCTAACCAGATCGGTAAAAGGGTCTTCGTTGTCTGATTGTTGCACCGCTTTAAACCTTGTCCAGTGAGATATAACACCTAGCACAGAGAAGCAAAACGGGAAAACCCCAGCAGTTATATGAATGATCGCTTCAAGGAGATTGCCACTGACTTCAAAATGTGAAAATCACTGTCTTCAAGTTTCGCACATATATTGATTCGACTAATGATCTTCCTGTTCAGAGATTATTCAGTTAGTTCACATGACCTCTCAAACTGAGACATGATTCGGAAGTCAACGCATATTTAACATATGGTATTTGGAAAGTGCAATCACCTCGGAACAGGAGACTGATGTAGTCATATGAGCGATATGGGCAAAGCTTCTAAAATAGGACATAAACTGTTATGCAGGAGAAGCAACAATATGTTGAGCTACTCAAATTATAAGATCACGTTATTCACGGTCAACTTGGTAATACATAAATGACATGAGAGCAGCAGCTTCATCCTTTAACACCTTGTCATCTTCGCATGAATTTTTCACAGTGTTACACAGAGTACATCAATGTCGTACAAAGGGACTTTGCATACGCCACTGCACAAAGCTGCAGCTGGAGATCTGAAACCGGACCACTACATTCAAAAGCGAAACATACATTCTCTCGCCTCACCGTGCTCAGAGTTCAGTTCTTACTATAAGTTTGCCTCTTTGTATTATGTAAGTTCACAATTGTTATTGTTATTACTGCTACTATTTTATTATGATTATTATTCTCATCATCCTTATTTTATTACCACTCTATTTCTGTTTATTAATAACTTCGCTATCTCATACATATTTTAAAGGATAAAACTTTATCCCTTTTCCACTGGTTCCTGTCCATCCTCTACGAACTTATTGATTAGTCATTTTCTCACAGTAAATACGTGATGCCAACTTCTGTCTCTTTTCTAACTTACTATCAGTCATCCCTTCTAGGTTAGACCTTATATTATGTAATACATTTTTCCAGTGCAAAGTTTACCAGTATCTGATTGGTCTAAAGAAGTCTTTGTTTAATATAACTACGATTGTACATCTCATGAACATGAATCGTCGAAAAGAAACTTTTCTTCGCTGTTTGCACCTTTGCTTAAGTCCAGTGGGTTAGATAAAGGACAAATGAAAGAAAATGACTATTCATTGATGAAGCCATTAAATAAGTGTGAGAAGAAATCAAAATTCCAAATAATATATACTGTCAAAATCCAACATCTGACTTACTATGAGTACTGCGAATGCCAAAAATATGCCAGACAGAATTACTGCAATTAGCTGCAAGTAAGATTAAGAAAGTATTATGACCAATAATGAATTAGTGATCTGTCTTTTATATTATACGAGTACTTCTAGTTTCTTATTTCCTACTCTTTATCTGTGTTGCATGTCATCCACCGCTTCACTGCATAATATCTGCAGCGTTTGGTGGTTATCGACGCGCAGGCTATTGTCAGTATCCCTTTCAATCAGTCAGCATCATTTACACTGTACTCTCTATAGGTGGCTTGTTAGTAATTTGTCAAGGTTGTAACAATACTATTTAGAATTCATTCCATACCGCAGACTTGACAAATATGATATCACTTGCTGAAATACATAAGCTACACGCTTAAATTACTTGACTGTCGTATTAGGATCCACTGTCTGCTGATCACAGCAAGCTTAGTCGGATGCTCGATTCTCATGATTGACCTCTTCTATTCCACACTGTACAGGGTGAAGAGTCAGGGGAACCGGCTTGAGGATCATCTAAAGGAGACACCATACTGATATTATATCGACTCTTTATTACTACAATTTAACCCAGAAGCAATCAACACAGTGCGAACAATCTACACTATGACGATAACGTTCTTAGTCTTACTGCTATCAGAGCACACTTTGTGTCATGGCACGACCTGCAGTAACATTAATCACAAAGAGTGCAGCTCACTGGGTCCCTTAGGTATACAAATTCGAATACCACGTCAAGGTGAAAGAAATCGGTGACAATTTAAATTACTGAAATGCAATAGATGGTTGATGCAATAAGTGATTTCGTAAGTTTTTTTATTGTATGGTTCATGTATATGGAAACGTTATGTGGCGTTAACAAGTGAAAGGAATTTGAGACTGATATTTTAAATCATATCTTCATGAATCCTGAACTGTACAGGCACGGATCGATTTGCTAATCAGTGAAGTGAACATAACTGTGATATGTCGTTTGATTACTGAGTGAAATTTGACTAATGGACAGTTCTGCTACAATACAGTGATGTGTTCCATGTTGTTGATATATGTTCTAATAAACTGTCCTGCACAATATGTGACCAGTTACACAAGAAATAATAATTATCGCCATGCATCATACACAGAACAACTTACTGCTTAACCAAATAACATGCTACTTACTTTACGCTTAGCAACTCTTGAAGCAATCAACAGAATGATATCCAACACTATGATTCCACCAGCGATGCTCAATAGTATGATGCTCACTTTCGCACTCTGTTTCACAGTTTTGTATCCAATTATCACTGCCACCACAGCTAGGATGACTGTAATAACCTATGGTGCAAAAATTAAAAATCCCATGGATTTGGTGACTGCAGGTACTGCAAAAGACCATAATAAGACCTTCAACATGTATAGATTGGTTACAGGATTTTCATCATTGAGTTATGAAATCGTTAGTAGATTTATTCGATTTATTTGACGCTCACACATCTCAGATTTATGGACTGAAGTGATCAAAATATGTGAAACATTCTTTCCGCCATTTCGCCTCTTCCTCTAATTCTGAAATTTGTTATTCTGTGCGTTGAACAAGTATGTATTGCACCATGATATCACAGTGACCTACAGCTTTCCACAACTCTACACCTAATCGATTGGACATATCAAGTTGTCTGTCGATAATTTTTCACCACTATAAAATCATCCTCAGTTGCAACATTTCGAAATACACTTTATAAAGACAAATAGATCACGCATACAATACACAAAACATTTCCATTCAACATAACAGTCACTGAAGTCTGCAATCAGCAGAAAAGGAATTTTCATATGATTGCGTCGTTTGAGTCAAAGATGTCACGAATCTGTGATGAATGAGAATGTAACATCAAGTACAAATATAGGGTCCTGTCGTTAAATTTTAAAGATTATTTTGCGTAATTGTCGGGGATTTGGTAGATACATACATGTATTGGCTTGAAATAAGGCAAACTTACCGAAAGTGAGATGAGTACTTCATTAAGTGGAAACATCTCTCTAACTTTCTCAATAATGAATAACATTGACACAGGGATTGTACCCAGTACACTGAAGAAGTCAAATAATAAAAATAGTAAGTTTCGGAAAATCACCAACATTAGGCATCGTTTTTTTACAAACAGTTAAAGGCTATTCTGGTGGTGACTAGCGTTCAGTCATCGTAGGAGGTATCAACCAGCCTTAAGTTTTCCAATTTTTAAACTCCTTTATTTTGCCTATTCTACTCTATTGCTCTCTATTAATCTTTCCTGGGCTTCTCAAAAAAAGATTATATCATATTACGAAGAGTATTAAATACTGTGAGTAGGGCTTGTGGTCTGCCACTGCGTGAGCTCGCCAATGCTATAGTCGAGAGGCATATAAACTCCTGTACAAAATAGGCAAAGGCTATACTGTCTCAAACACACTACTTAATTAACGAGGAATCTTCTGAGTATTTTGTTCTGAAAATCCAAATTGATATGATTTCGCATCATCATTTTAGCTCAACCGAGATTATCCAAGATCATCTATAATACAAATCACAGAATGGATATCAATCCTTAAATCCACAGTGGATTCTAGGGACTATTTCCCAGCAATAGTCTATTTTATCCGTCTTTGATTATATTTGGGTATAACAGTACCTCCTTAACGTGGAATCTCGTGAGTATTTTGTTCTGAAAATCCAAATTGATATGATTTTGCATCATCATTTATTCTCAACTGGGATTATTATTCCACTGAACATTTTATGTTACCAAGCAGTGTCTTGGAAATCACAAACATTAACTGACAAATATTCCACGATATATTATAAGCAAAACTGTTGAAAATTCATCGACATCTAAACTCACCTGATTGTAAATCGATTGAATGCTGTTAACGCCTTCATTTCACTCACTTATATGTTTCAATGATTATAAACACAGTCTATATGCGTGGTATGTGGCTGCATTTATTGTACTTTGAACAACGTTCTATCTTCTATTTGCATATTGATCTTTGTGAATGAACTCTGGTCTTGTGTTGTTGTAGTTGAATGATTGTTATTCTTATTTTTCACGTATTTAAGATGAGTACAGAATGAATAACTCTATTCAAATTTTCAATTCATCGTCTAAGTACTCTGTTACTCATCTATCCCTGGTGATCATCTGTTACTCAGCATATACTAAATTGATCCAAGTTTAGTGTCAAACATAAGCGTTTAGCAGTACACCACCGTTTTGTTTTGTGCACTGCAGTATTTTCACGTGACTGTACCTCTTATCTTTTCTTCCATCAGACAACTAACTCATCTTATCACATCTGACATCCACTGGAGAAATTGTGTGACTACCGATTCTACCTATCAATCTCCTCAGTATATATCTAACGTATCTTCACCTACTTTCGCATATTATTTAGAGGATAGATATTTGATTCGTTATTAACTAATCTTCGTTTCGCTAATCCTTTATGCCCTGTAATCTGATCTTCAGTATCCAGAGATGGAAGATGCTGATGAATCACATTATGGAGAAAATATTGTTTCGATAAAGTCTTCCAGTGTTACTTGATATGACTATATGCAATAAATTGTGCTCGAAATGTCATTAATGTATACAGCTGTGTACTGTTGAAGAATCTTCCCCAGAGTAGAATGAAACAAGGTCGATGATCACCTGGTTTCTCAAAGGTTATCTGTCTGATGACAGCTGGCGACTAAACTCGGAATAAATTAAGTTAATTTGATCAAAAATTAATAATCCCATTAGGAAACTGAAAACCTCACACATGGATAAAAAATGTTCTCAAAATGAGTATTGAGGCAAAAATGAATTATGGATGACGATCAAAACTTTTTGACGTTCTGAGATCTTTGATCTGTGATTATACACCTGTGATCCCCGAACTTCATGAGGTTTCACCGAAAATTCACTGAAAAGTCATTTTGGATAGGTTAACTTTGATCACGCAAATGTTTGTTGGGTCCACATTGAATGGATAATAAAATTGTTACTTTAGTTTTGTAACCAACGTGCGTTAACGATTAATTCTCATGACATAACATATTTCCTTAGAAAGGGTTCACCTCAAAATATCTCAAAGTAGGCTTTCAACGCTTGAAGGTGTGAGACGACAGATTTCAACTCTCAAATGAATGTTACAACAGATGTGAAAAGATCCTGAGTAAATGAAATCAACTCATATTTCCTATTCTCTCAAATACTTACTATCGCTTGGTGGAACAGATGTCTGATGTTCACTGCTTCGTTGAGTTTCCGTCTTCCCGATTGCCAAAACACATGCTGTGCCTTCTAACTCGAAAAAGTTTGACAAAGCTGTGCATATTGATGAATGCTTTGATCAAATGGATATCACATGAATCAAACAGAAACGTTTGTCAGACTTTCGCTATTTCTCCTTATTACACATCAGTAGCATTCAGGTTATTCTATGGAAAGTTTTTTGAGTAAAGTAGCTTACTTTATCGCATTCATTATTTCTGTTTGTGTTTTATATAGGATTAAAGGTATTTGTGTTTTAAGGAATCAGGTAGTCAGATCAGTGTTGACATGGCAGGCGTACTTGCAAAATATCAAACAATGAATTTAAGGTTGCGTATGAGTATGAAAACATTACTGATCAGAGAAATGTTTATTGCGATTAGAAGATAACAGAATGTCAAAAAATACCTGCCCAGCAGGTCAGACCCATTGGTATTAAAAAGGAGTAATTATATCATTTGTGCAGAATCGGAAATAGCTCGCTCCACTTTGAAGTCAGCCATGAAGGTGTTGTCTTGTGTGTAGACGAACCAATCGCGCTTAAATCAAACGTCACACATACTACAACTACATCAAAAGAATCAATCGGGGTTACTTATCTTCTCGATTAGCCTAAGAAAATCCACCATTTGGGATATTTCTGGAAGAGACTTTGAAACAAATCAGAAACTACTGCATGCGTATTTCGAAAGTGCAATAGACCATATAAGAGTAGAGAGCATCTCATAAAAATAGGCTTAAAGCAGAAGTTTTCCTGTAGTTACTAACCGACTTCATTGAGTAACCCATGTTCCTCAATACCCTGGATTGTTCTATCCTTCTAAGTGTGAATTGATTGGTAATCAGTCATATTACTTTTGCTTATATTGTCTAAGTTTGTCTAAGGGGAAGGTAATTTGCATTAGTAGGTGCAATATCTTTCATTTCCATAGAGTTTATTATGATAGTTTGAGATGTTATACAAATTTGAAGAGTCAAGTATCCCTTCTGATTGCTATGCTTTATGATATATCTGTAAATTCGTGCAATAGTCAAGACGAATTGCTCTGTAAGCTGTGTCAATAAACGTTCGTCTTATTGTGTGTTCCATCTGTGCTTATTTTTAACAATTGTTGAGCGACATGTTCATGGTTGATCCTTTGGTAGGGTTTTTTGTTACTTATTTATTTCAGTCGGTCAGTTCGTTTTCATTCTGAAGTCAGCTAAGGCAGCTGTTGATGGAAGTCTGCAACAAGCTGTTCGAAAGGATTTCAGCTGTCAGCCAATTAGTTGAAGACACTTACTGTTTAGACACTGTTGTTGAAAATCGGAATCTTATTCTTCACTCTGAGTAAAGAAGATTTCCATATTGATTTCACTGTAATCAGTGTATGTTTCACCTCCCCTTTCCTACGTTCGGTATCCTGTAGTTCAAACAACATTGCACGCATAAGTGAAATAACTGACCTTTTTTTAAGTTTCTCTAGCTAACATATATTGGTACTTGTTGTACGTCGTCCATTCTACTCTGCAGCCTCTTCTCTAAACTTTACACTGATTGTTACTTTGGCAATCAAAAATAAATTATCTACAAATTTTAGATCATCTGGACTCTTCCTGTTGATCTGAAGTCTCCCGTTCATTCCGTTTCTTTATTGTGGTAGTTAATTTCCAAACGCTATTTTTCGCTAGCTTAAATATTCATATTTCTACTGTAAGAACAAGACATATAAGCGAACTATACTGATGTTTTCAATTAGACCTTCTTCAGGTTTTACTTTAATTCACATAGATTTATATATAAAAATTTAAACAATGACGGAGATTATGTGGATCAAATAATAATAGTGATGATACAGTCACCTAAACCTTCATGTGCTTTCAAAAGAAGTTTTGTGAAGAGAAGGCGCTCATATTCTGACAAGATGATACTTTATATATATATATATATATTCTTATGCATACTGCATGAGTCCATGTGCCTGTCAATAACCGTATTCAGAAGTTGATTTAGCGATACTTCAATACAGCTAGATAGTTTTAAGGATCTTTATAGTAAAAGAAATTCTTTCTTCAGTGGTTCAAAAACGATTGAGGAAAAGTAATTAAGGGGTATACGTAGAATACAAAAATAAACCAACCAATTACTACCTCACCTAGGGTTTTGTTAGAGTATTTTTTGAGAAAATAACACTGTTTGGAAAGATCAAGAAATTGCAGAAAAGATTCACAAGCCAAGGTGTGTAACATTCGACTTTGCTCCGACTTCACTGCAATCCATGATACATGTCCATTTGAATCACACCTGTGTCTGAAAGTGAAATAAGCAGTCATATATTTGGGGAGATTTATCTCAAAACCCTTCGACAAGGACTACTGAAACATATCTGATAGAAAATGTATTCATTTAGGAGCATAAGTAATATTGATAATGATCTGCTTTATTCCAAGAAACAGTACTTATAATAGAGTAAAGCATTTTCAGCATTTGACACAATACTGCATCTAGTTTCCTAAAATATAAGCACAATTGACCACTAAAACTTTTCCATATTGATTGTAGATGTGAGTGCTTGTGAACATTGAGTCACTTATTTGTTGAAACTTATCTCCATACTGGCAGAGGACAAAAAGGCTACCAGTGCCTAATCGCGTACCGGTTAGCAGAACTTCGGAGAAATACCTTCAGAAGTATTGTTGTACATTATAATAAAGTTTATTTCCACACTTTGGCTCTGGTTAACCACTGTCAATCTATAACATTATCACTTGAAGAATAAGCATTCGTGTTGCTCGACCGTTTTTGATTTTCCGAGT